TAACATACAGAGACAGAAATGCAGAAATTAATGAATGTAGAAATGTGGAAATACAGTAATAAATAAATGTAGAAATGTGGAAATACATAAATAAATAAATGTAGAAATGTGGAAATACATAAATAAATAAATGACGAAATGTGGAAATTCATAAATATTTAAATACGTTAATAAACAAATATAGGAATCCATTTAGCAATTTTCATGGCCAAACTGTATTTATGTATTTATTTATTTCAGTATTTACTTATTTATTCACACATTTATTTATTTATAATTATGTCATGTCTAGTCCTCCATACCTATGAGCAGTCCGCTGTGGAAGTGTAGTTTGGTGGAACTACACTTTATAGTAAGAAAGTTATTAAATGACATTCCTAATAAAAAATCATTAAAAAATCTTTATAAATAGACTAAGGTATATTTCACCAAACTAAGGGGTGTAGTATGACCATGATAACATTCCAAAAGCCTTTGGTGATTTTGGTGGCTCTTCACTCTTCGGAAGTGAAATTATTGACATTATCCGTTTTCGTTTTGCACTTTGCGGACGGTCCCTAAGCTCTCCTCTGACAGCGGATTGCTCATAGGGAGCAATGTCATCCGTATTTCTTTAAAAACATATTGTTAGGACGAAATCACTTCAGGGGTCGCGATCAAACGGAAAGAAATTTGAAAGCCTGATGGCTTTTTAATTAATAAGCCGTGAAAACAACAGCGATCATGCCAACTATACAGACAGAGACACTGCGCTCTCTCGCTGCGGTCGGCGGCAATTCTTTTCAGATTAGGCTCTACATGTGAAGTTAAACGAGGAAAATATTTCACACTTTAAGTTAGCTCCACATTCTCCAGCAATATGAATTAAAAATACAAAGCAAGATGGGAATATCCTTCTGCTCACACAAAACTGCCGGAAAATTTAGGGATCGTCTTGAAAGTGCAACGCCAATCAGCATAACACCACTTGTACAGTATGGGTCCTATAACCGTCTATCAATATTGCAGTTGGATAAATTGCAATTACTCTCATTTTTAAACGAATCCACATCAAACCAAATTCAGTGTGTTCCTCTGGCCCTCTCTCATCTTTCACACCATTTGAGGAAATTATAACCAGACAAATGTTGTTCAACTATTTTGCTGAACAACATTTGTCTGGTCGATTCTGCAGGAGAGCGACTGCAGCACAAATTGCTGAAAAGGTTAATGCTGATGTTGATAGAAAGTAGGGATGGCACGGTTCATGAAAAAAAACCGAACCGTTCGGTTCGCTTGTCTCGGTTCGGAGCATGCATGCGTCGCACGGTTCGACGGTTCGACGGTTCATGACATGCGCAATGTAGCCTCGTGCCCCGTATGTGACGTCAGTGTGTTTCCCCTTTCGCGCGAAAG